CTGAGCAAAGGTCTTTCCACACTCCATGCATTTATACGGCTTCTCTCCTGTGTGGATCTTTTTATGGACAGCAAGTCTACTGCTCAGAGCAAAGGTCTTTCCACACTCTATGCATTTAAATGGTTTATCTCCTGTGTGGACCTTTTTGTGGATAGTAAGTCTTCTACTGTAAGCAAAGGTCTTTCCACACTCCATGCATTTATATGGCTTCTCCCCTGTGTGGATGAACTTATGGGAAATAAGATGACCACTTTGAGCAAAAGTCTTTCCACACTCTATGCATTTATATGGTTTCACTCCCAAGTGGATCCTTTTATGGATAGTAAGTTGCCTACTTGTTCTAAAACATTTTCCACATTCCAAACATTTATAAGTCCTCTCTTTTGTGTCAATCACTTTTTGAGATATAAGGAAGTTACTCCCAAGAGAAAGAATGAATGTTCCATTGTAATAAGATAAATAGTGTTCATTTGCTTGTACTTTAGCTTTGATTAGCTTCACACTTTTTCCAGTATATTTTGTCCTTATTTTCTCTTCTTGGGCAAGAAAGTCTTGCATCGGAGCATCAGTGGAAGATGAGCTTTCCTGATTCCAATTCCTTGACTGGTTTCTGTCATGGCTTTTGAAATCCATTTGAATTCCAAACTTCTCAGTTCCATCTTTTGCATTGATCACTTGGAACAGTTCACAGGAATCTTGATTTTCCTGCCCATTATTACCTTCAAAGCAAAAAGGAAATGAAAATGATAACAAGGTTAGAGAAAAAGATCAAAGTGTAGAAACTCAAGTGAAATTCCATTAGGTTGTATGTTTGCATGCTTACAGTGGTGTGATATAGACATCATGATTTCTATGCATGAAAGCTTTGAAAATATCTAGAAAACATCTCTTTCTTTACAACTATCTATATACAGTATATGCAAATCTCACTCAGAATCAGTTTTAAGGAATAGAGTAGCTTGATTCCCTCTTCTTTGTGGCAGCCCCTGAAATAATGGAAAACTGCTGTCATGTCTCCCCTAGTCCTTCTTTTCATTAAACTAGACATACCCAATTCCAGCAACCGTTTTTTATATGTTTCAGTCTCTAGTCCCCTAATCATCTTTGTTGCTCTTCTCTGCACTCTTTCTTGAGTCTCAACAACTTTTTTACATCCTGGCGACCAAAACTGGATGCAGTATTCCAAGTGTGGCCTTACCAAGGCATTATCAAGAGGTATTAACACTTCACGTGATCTTGATTCTATTCCTCTGTTTATGCAGCGTAGAAATGTGTTGACTTTTTTGGCAGCTGCTGCACACGGCTCGATCATATTTAAATGGTTGTCCATTAGGACTCCAACATCCCTCTTACAGTTATTACTATTGAGCAAGGTACCACATATACTGTACCTGTGCATTTTTTTTGCCTAAATGCAGAACCTTATTTTTTCACCATTGAATTTCATAATAATCAGGGGAAACCCGCTGAGGATTTGGGAGGCCAAAAACAGGCCCATACTCGGTCTATAAGACACACAGACATTTCCACCCACATTTTGGGAGGGGAAAAGTGCACCTTATAGTCTGCAAAAAACAGTAAGTCCTTGCGAGATAGGGTGGGGGAATAGGTAGGGTGAATATTGTAGCACCTCTACTGTCATTCGTAAGTGTGAATGATGATTGTGGTGCTGCAACACTCATAAATTTTGGGAGTGGGTTTCAATACTTGGGGAGGACTGGTCGTAACTTGGAAAGTTCGTGAAGTGAACGGTCGTAACTCGGGGATTACCTGTACCCTAGGATGCTCTGAGTCACACTGCATGAGGCCTTTGTTCTTGAATTGGATTGGGAGAATGCTCTTCCATGGGCTGAGCGTTAAAGTTCTGTTCTCACACAATTTAGGGAGGTTCCAGAGGACAAATGACAACACACTCCTCTCACACGTCCTCCAAGACACATAAAAGCAAACCTTGTTCTTTTCAGGCTCCATAGATAAGTTCAAATAGAAATGAAAAAATACAGATAAGAAATGGCACAGAAAGACATTGACTCTTTCCTTCCTTGGAGCATGACAAGGCCAGAACCTTTCCTTCTCCCTCCCAGGAGACAATATCCGATTAGTGTTTTTTAAATAAAAAAACTAACTATAATCTCTCTTCTTGAACTCTGATTGGGGACTAGAAAACTCTTACCCAGAGAGACCACGTTCTTATAGTTTTCAAGCATGACTTCCGAATGCAGCGCTTTCTGGTCAGGATCCAGCTGAGACCATTCCTCCTCAGAGAAATACACAGCCACCTCCTCGAAGGACACAAGATTCTCCTGGACATGGAAAAAAGAATAGGAGGATTCGCAAGATCTGTTCATCTTCATCATTGATTTAGACAAGAGGATAGAAGGGGAACTCATCAAAATTTGCAGACAAGACCAAATTGACAGGAATACCAACACTCCAGAAGATAAACTCGAGATATAGAAGGATCGACAGATTGGGCCCCATCTAACAAAACAAAATTAACAGTGAGAAATGTAAGGTTCTACATTTAGGAAAGAAAAACCAAATGCAATGGCATAGAATAGGTAGAACCTCCTGGCTCAACAGTAGTAAGTGCAACAGGGAACTTGGAGTCCTAGAGGACAACCATTTAAACCTGAGTCAGCAGTATGCTACAGTTGCCCCCGCAAAAAACCCCAACAGAATCATAGGCTGCATTAAGAGGGATAGAATCAAGATGACATGAAGTGTTAGTACCACTTTATAAGGCCTTGGTAAGGCCACACTTGGAACATTGCATCCAGTTTTTGGTTGCCAGATGTAAAAAAAGATCTTGAGACTCTAGAAAGAGTGCAGAGAAGAGCAACAACAATTATTAGTGGACTGGAGGCTAAAACATATAAAGAACGGTTGCTGGAATTGGGTATGTCCAGTTTCATGAAAAGGAGGACTAGGGGAGACATTATAGCAGTGTTCCAAGAAGCAACAGATGGAAACTATTCAAGGAGAGAACCAACCTGCAACTAAAGAGAAATTTCCTGACAGTGAGAACAATTAATCAGTGGAATGACTTCCCTCCAGAAATTGTAGTTGCTCCAACACTGGAGGTGTTTATGAAGAAACTGGACAGCTATTTATGGGAAATGTTATAGGGCTTCCTGCCTAGCAGGGGGTTGGACTAGAAGACCTCCACGATCCTGCCAACTTTTCTGTACCATCGTTCCCAAATTCCCAGAGATATGCACTAAGTTAAATGGCTGTGCATTATGCAAGTTCTAATTTTAGGTGAACAAATAGGCAAATCTGAAAATTGCTTTCGCTGAAGAAATATTTGGGGAAGTTTTATCTAATTCATTGATTCTGCAAAACCTTCAGTGCCTTTCAGTAAAGTAATCCCACTTCTGGATTAACTGATCTATCGCTCTATCGTTGATTGATCTAGTAGTCTGGGCCATTGGCTGAAAGGAAGAAAGCAAAGAAGAGAAAATTCCCTGGGAAAGTTATTTCTCAGCCTTTGCAAAGGGGAAAGTTTGATCTCCTAATCGAGGCGCAAATCAGAGGATTGAAAATTATTATGTAGGCCAAAGTTCCATGATTACATGCTCAACAAGGCAACTCCCTTTGGATTTTAATAGTCTGCTTTATTTTTTTAATATGATTTACTTATTTTTGAACTACAGGTGAGACTTTTAAAAAATGGTAATGTGTATTTTTTTTTCCATTAGCCTTGACAATTCCGAGTCAAAGAATTACCCCCCCTCTAAAAAATGGGTCTCTGGCAGTTCCAGCCACTGTGACACGTTTATTCCTATTTCTTGAAGGACCTTTAAAATTGCTTCTTGTAAACTCCAAGTTGGAGGAGTACCTAGCAGAACAAGATAACCAGAGGAAGCTATGCTGGCTGACAGCAACTTGAACCTGCTATTCTGCTCTCCATGTTGTGGAAGAACACAAAAATAATACAGGCCAAACCGGGGGGTGGGGGGGTGGAAATAGGAGAGAGCCCTCTGCACACCCGCTTCACTTCCTGAAGGGAAAATAAAAGTCCAATATCTTTTCCCTTTCTTACTTGATTTGGAGGTTCTACCACTGTTTGATCACCTTCATAAAAACCAGAAAGCTTCATTCTTTGTTTCTCTGTAAGGAATAAATAATTTCAAAATGCATAATTAACAAAATAGGAGGAGGTGTAGGAGAGAAGAGAGGGCGAAGGGAAGATAGATGGGGAATCAGAGGATCTTCCATTACCTCCTGAGGTGTCCTGACTTGGGTCTTCCCAAGGGATCCTCCTGAAAAATAGCTCCTGAGGGGGATCTGATGGGTTCTTTTTTTCCTCAGGATCTCTGATCTCCACAGTGCAGCACTTCAAATAGGAGGAATGAAGGAAGAAGCAGAGAAGGTAGAAGCAAAATTAACCTACCTGACACAGAGGTTTCTTATATTCGGAACACAACCTCAAAGCCCCCAATATCCATCTGTGTGGCTGAGTGAGAAAACAATGGAACAATTTCCTACAAGAATTGCCTCATATTATGAACGTGGGAGAAGATTGGGAAGGAGGGGTGAAGCATTCAAACACTCTCTATTCCCTTCTGAACTCCCTAAAGTCTCCCACCTGCCACTGGAGCTGTTTCTCCGCTTGGTTCAGGAGGAAGCCTTCCGCCAGGGCCACTGCCTGGGAGCTGCTCTCTGCTCCACACTCCCTCAACCAGCCCTCCATCTCTGGGGGCAGGAGAGCCAGGAGCCGCTCTAGAACCACCAGGTCCAGCATCTGGGCTTTGCTGTGCTTTCCTGGGCTCAGCCATCGCCTGTACATGTCATGGAGTCGGCTGCAAAGTCCTCGAGGACCCTCAGCCTCCCAGCATTGGATGGAGGTCCAGGGCGGACTTTCTGAAGGGAGGATGGTTCCCTCCTGCAGGACCTTCTGCTTGGTTCTGGTCCAGCTCTCCCTACAGCTCCCAGGCTGAAGAACCATGGGGCCTTTTCCGCTCCACTCCTTGACCAAAGGGGGTGTCTCCATCCTTCTTCTCTTTGGCAGAGCAGCTACAAAGGTCTCCAGGGACTCTGGAGGGTCTCCAGGGGCCTCTTCCTTCATGGGAGCATTTCTGGGGCTGCAGGACAGATCCCTGC